TGACCAAAGTAGAATACAGTGGCACTATTGCTTCTCTTGATCTAGACTAAATCAAATCCCAATATCCAGGGTCCAAGTCCTGCACTCATCCATTATATCACACTGGCTCTCATTTTCAAAACTAAATGCATTATTCAGGAGATTTTATGGTAGGGGAGCCATCTTCTAGAATTTCAATTAACAGGATTCAAATTCCAATTGGAGCTGGGGGCAAGTCTTCAAGATCTTCTTACATCTGTTATATTGTATTAAATTTTGGACCTGTCCACTTAAAGTAAGTAATCCACCATAATCAACCTTGGAGTCTTCATTTTTGACACCTCTGTTCAAATGGACAGTACTTGGTTGGACCATACGTTACACGAGTTCATATAACACAGGTTCACTTACCCATGTCCAACAAATTACATTGTCTCAAGGCATTTGCTAGGTCCTCCAGTGCAGTGTTATGGTATGGTTCCATCCTATGTTGACCATAGAATCACACTGGAAGACCTAGAAATTGTCTAGAGAAGTGGAATCTCTAGGTTCCTCAGCATGAGTCTATGGTCAACCTCCACTAGAAGCATACCATGTAATCATTTTGGGGGACCTAGAAAATGCCTAGAGAGAACACTTAATTGTTAATTTCATGTAAGAGAAATAGCATTCCATATTATACATGAAAATAATATGCAAAAGCTCATGGAATTGATCTCTCATGTTATACATGGGCCACCTGTATATTCAAGAAAGGGATTTCTAAGTAAATTGTTGGAGATGTAACACTGCTAATGCCTCCTTAATGTATATGTTTTGGAGTTGTCCCATAGTAGCTACATTTTGGGAGAAAGTAATCAGTTTATTCTGCAAATGAATCCTACTATTAAGTTACTGTATGTAAGCCACCATAACTGTGAATTGTTTTAACATTAGAATGATTCAGCTTTTTTGTGAAAATCTTTTTAAAACTATTGACTTCCTTAGTGTGCAGGAAATATTTGTTTTTATTAAGTGGCATTTAGATTATGATAGTGACAGTCTTAAATTTGTTCATGTGTAAATAAAATGATTAGCTTAGAATACACAAAATAATATTCCACAAAGAGCCATCCACTATAGGAATTCATATATTTTACTTAGGAAGTCTTGTAACCTAAGGCCAGATGCCTATTAATGATTTATGCTGGCATAGTCCCCAATTACACCAGGATAAGTAGTTTTTAGTCATTCAGGAAAGAAGTTTTCCTTTCCTTCCTTGTGCAACATGCTCACTGCAGATGCCCAAGGCAGCA